CGTCCCATGATTCCATCTGGTCCAGCTGCCCTTCGAACATTAATATTTTGGAAAGCGTGTCTCACATCTGAAATCTGCAGGAGTAGTGGTTTTCTGTTGATGGTAAATTCTAGTGATGTACTATAGATAGTTGTTGTTGTTGTTTAGTCAAGTCGTGTCCAACTCTTTGTGACCCCATGGACCAGACCACACCAGGCCCTACTGTCTTCCACTGCCTCCCGGAGTTGGGTCAAAGTCATGTTGGTAGCTTCCAGCCCTCTTTGAAATCAGTTCTTCGGCGGTCAGCCTTCTTTATGGCCAGCTCTCACTTCCATGTATCACTGATGGAAAAACCATAGCTTTGACTATGTGGACCTTTGTCGACAAGGTGATGTCTCTGCTTTTTAAGATTCTGTCTAGGTTTGCCATCGCTTTCCTCCCAAGAAGCAGGCGTCTTTTTATTTCGTGGCTGCTGTCACCATCTGCAGTGATCATGGAGCCCAAGAAAGTAAAATCTGTCACTGCCTCCATATCTTCTCCTTCTATTTGTCAGGAGGTGATGGGACCAGTGGCCATGATCTTAGTTTTTTTATGTTGAGTTTCAGACCATTTTTGCACTCTCCTCTTTTACCCTCATTGTGAGGTTCTTTAATTCCTCCTCACCTTCTGCCTTCAGAGTGGTATCATCTGCATATCTGAGGTTGTTGATATTTCTTCCAGCAACCTTAGTTCCGGTTCGGGATTCCTCCAGTCCAGCCTTCCACATGATGTATTCTGCATATAAGTTAAATAAGCAGGAGGACAATATACAGCCTTGTCATACTCCTTTCCCAATTTTGAATCAATCAGTTCTTCCATATCCAGTTCTAACAGTTGCTTCCTGTCCCACATATAGATTCCTCAGGAGATAGATAAGGTGGTCACACACTCCCATTTCTTTAAGAACTTGCCATAGTTTGCTGTGGTCCACACAGTCAACAGTTTTTGTGTAGTCAATGAAATAGAAGTAGATGTTTTTCTGGAACTCTCTGGCTTTCTCCATAATCCAGCGCATGTTAGCAATTTGGTCTCGAGTTCCTCTGCCCCTTCGGAATTCAGCTTGTACTTCTGGGAGTTCTCGGTCCACATACTGCTGAAGCCTACCTTGTAGGATTTTGAGCATAACCTTGGTAGTGTGTGGAATTAGTGCAGTTGTACGGTAGTTAGAGCATTCTTTGGCACTGCCCTTCTTTGGGATTGGGATGTAGATTGAATATTTGTATACTTTTTTTAGCTTTTAAATATTGTCTTTTAATTGTTCTAAGCCACGTTGGTTCCCTGTAAGGAGAGAGGCGGTGTAAAAATATTTTAAATAAATAAATAGATGCTCCAGTAAGTACAGTGGTGCCTCGCATTACGATGTTAATTCGTTCCAGCAAAACCGCTGTAGAACGAAAACATCGTAAAGCAATTTTTAAAAGCCCATAGAAACGCATTAAAACCCAATTAATGCTTTCCTATAGGCTTGAAACTCACCATCCAGCGAAGATCCTCCATAGTGTGGCCATTTTCGCTGCCCGTGCAGCGAGGAATCCGTCCCAGAAAACAGTGGGCGGCCATTTTTTTTACCTGGTGGCCATTTTGAAACCGCCGATCAGCTGTGCGAAAATTGTCGTTTTGTGATAATCGATTAGTGAAGCAGGGAACCAATCATCGCAAAGCGAAAAAACCCCACAGGAAACATCGTTTTGCAATCGCTTATGTGATCTCAAAATCTTCGTCGTTATGCGATTTCATCATAAAACGAAGCGCTCATCTTGCGAGGCATCACTGTATATGCAGAGACAAGCATCCCCCTCAGATCTCAAGTCGTTTTAGAGCATTAGCAATTTTTGAGCTTTTCTTTTGGCAAAGAAAACAGAATGTCCCACTGAGCCTGTACCTCTTTTCAAACAGTAGAAATCTAGTAATGATGCATCAAGTAAATGAGAGTATCGTACCCTCTCTTTGCCTAATGGTAGGACCGATCTGGATTACCCAAACAGTAAGTTGCAACTTGCTCCTCAGTATCTGAACCCAGAATACGCGTGAGTGAGCCGTTGTGGATTCTGTATGCATGAGCCTCCATGTTTTAGGAAATATACACCTTTCCCCCTCCCCACAACAAATAGCTAGCAACGTGAAGCTACAGGGATTGGCCTTTGGCCATCACAACTCATTGGATGGGCTGGTTTTGACCAATTATTTGCACCGATTCGGAATCTGGAATCTGCTCTTACCCACCACACTATCTGCACCATGGGGCATATTTTAACCTTTGCACTGTTTGCTTCTTTTACTCCTCCTCCTCACTTGTCGTTTCACAAACGAAAGATGATGTGACGGCGGAGCCGCTAGTGTGAGTGACCTATTTTAGGTAGGTCTGTAGAACACAGCTTTTGTAGAACACAGCTTTTCAGTTGAAGACCTTTGTGGAATACTGCTGTTATTATGGCAGCCAGGAAGGAATTTGATGCCGTTTTGTCAGCAGCCACAAAAGGCATGACTTGCAGGAAGCTCTTGAAAATACCGACACCCTTCTGAAGACTAAATCTGATGACATTTACGGGAGGCGAACCCTGTTTTCTTCAAAGCAAGGAAGTTGATGAAACATGACTGAGTTACTTGTCTGGATCCACAGAGGGAAGCCATAAATGCCCTTTCCATTGTTTTCCTGCTGACAGATACTTCTTAGCACTATGAAAAATGTTTAACAAATATGGACAACAGAAAAAAAAACCCACTGAAAGAGCCTGATAAAGACCAGGAACCTTTTAAAGCTGTGATGAATGGAGCTTTCAGTGGTCCGTGTATAAACAAAGCAAGGTTTCACCGGTATCAGTTACTGGTTTAGAGTCTTCCGTGCATGAGATTTCTCAGGAAAAAAAATGCTAGGGTGCCTCTCATTGAATTGGGAGATTTTTCTGCGCCAACATTTCCTTGCAGTGCTTAGGATCCCAAAGGCAATATTTTACTTTTCATATACTGAAGTCATGAAGTCTTTTCTTTTTATCAAAACATTAGTTGGCCACTGAACAAGTGAATGGCTTGTTCAGCAGTTCCATATGCTCCTTCTGGTGCTTATTCAGGTGCATTCGAGAACAAACAGTTAAAGTTATCTCTGCTTTGAAAGCAGCGAACAAGCACTGAAATGCTAAAGTTGGAGACTTTTCTCTCAAGATGTTTTCCTTGTAAAGTTCAAGTAGTGGTTTTCAGTCTTTGGAGTCTTGGAGAACATCTGCCACGTCAATGTGACATGGCAGCTTAGACTCTGCCACAGAATTGATTGCAGAGGATATAAGAACATAGGAACCTGCTTTGCACAGAGTTAGATCATTAGCTCATGTCACTCTCTGAATGACAACGGCTGTCCAGCGTTATGGCCAAGAGTCTTTCAGAGCTCTTCCTGGAAATACATGGGTCAAACATGAGATCTTTAGACATTGTTCTAACAGTAAGAGTCACTGGTCAAGGGAACCTGCTGGCTCCAAGGGTAGCGGACTCTACTTCATTTGAGAGTTTTAGGCAGAAGTTGGATGGTCGCTCATCTGGGATGCTTTCCTTGTGGATTTCCTGTGGGACTCCATGACCTTTGAGGTCCCTTCCAGCACAACTGTTCTCTAGCGGACTCTACTTCATTTGAGAGTTTTAAGCAGTGGTTGGATGGTCGCTCATCCAGGATGCTTTCCTTGTGGATTTCCTGCAGGACTCCATGACCTTTGAGGTCCCTTCTAGCACAACTGTTCTATAATCCTATGGCTGAAATCCCGTTGCTTAGCTTAGTAAGTCACAACTAGAGTAGGCCCATTGAGTCACTGGGGATTTAGTGAGCTAAGTCCTTTGTAAGTTCCACAGATTCATTGGGCCTACTTTGTGGTTGTTTAATCGTTCAGTCGTGTCCGACTCTTCGTAACCCCATGGACCAGGCCCTCCCATTTTCCATTGCCTCCCAAAGTTTGGTCAAATTCATGCTGGTCGCTTCGAAGACAGGGCCTACTTTAGCTGCATCTCATTATGCTAAGCAAGAGGATTTCAGCCTGTGATTCTGTGCAAAGGGTGTGACTGGCCACAGAGCGATAGCTGTTCCTTAAGATGTTTCCTTTCACATTAAAACTCCACACACATCAGATTTTAGATGGGTCTGTAGGACTTCTGAGTAACCCCACGCGGATTGAAAGCATGCCATGTTTTCTATAGCTTTTGTAGTAAGGAAAAAGCAGTTTCTGACAGAAAACTATCGTTCAAGTCTGATAGCATTGCTTCTGTTACAGCTGGGGAAGGAAACGTGGGATGTGAGCTACATATATGCTCTCCTTTTTTCTTTTTTACCCCATTGAATTTGCTGCTGTAGCAACTAAGCTCCAGTGTGCTGGTAAGGAGCCAAGCTACAATTTGACGTTAAAACAAGGTGTCCACTTCCACGAATTTGCTCTTCATGACTGACACCACCATGCTCCTGAAATTGGGTGATGCAACAGCAGATTCAGTTGAGTAATCGTGGGTTTGACCATCGATGCATGGCATAGGACTCCTTCATCCCTTGGAAATTGCCCATCTTGCTTTCAAGAGAAAGGTGTGACTTCCACTAAGTTACTCTTCAAAACACTTTTTCTCTTCTGCTGTTAATAGGGCAGAACTTTTTTTTAAAAAAAAAAGGTGCCTTCTTTATATATTTCTCTGCTCTCCTTCAACACACTTCCAGAGTAATTAAGCAAAACCATATGATAATAATCTTCTGCTTTAAAAAACAACAAATAGATGATGCATTGGAAAGAAGCAGCATTATTGCAGCCCTTAAAAAGTTCAGCAGAACCTGTTGAACAGAAATACACAGCTAGTTTATAAGAGGTGAAAATCAGGGTTGCTTAAAAGCAGGAGTGGGGAAGACTCTTTTGTTTTCGTAAAGAGGAAAGTGAAAAACTGAGAAACTCTTCTTAGCTGGTCTTGCACAAAGAGTGATGTTTGCTTTTTAACTCTCCTGGTCTTCCATTTCAACTCCACAGGTATGGAATGAATTGCCTCATTCAGTTTGAAGACTTTGCCAATGCAAACGCCTTCCGTCTTCTCAACAAATACCGCAACAAATACTGTACATTCAACGATGACATTCAGGGTAAGAGATACAAATGTCTATTGGGGAGATGGCATATAACATGGTGGATGCATTCTTGTGTAAATTCCCTCTGTGTTTCCTCTGTCATTCCCATTCTCCAAAAGCCAGGGCTGGACAGAGCTCGGAAATCTTACCTTTTAAGGATTACAGCTCACAAATCTTTCAGCCTTTATGATCATGCTTGCTAAAAGAATTCTTGGCAGCCGGCACCCCAAAAAAGGAACTTTTCCGCACTCTAAGCTTAGCAACAGCATCCCTCACCATTGCCTAAGTTTGTTAACGCTGATAAGATGCTGATGTCCAACAACATCTAGACCATTCCTCAAATCTGTAGTATGTTCTTATGGGCTTCCGAGTGTAGGAATTTAATCTAAGTAGTGTGTGACTTTGTTTTGTTTTGTTGTGAATTTGGACTCCAAATCCCAGAATTCCACAAAAATTCCACACGCAGAATTTGGGCAGTTCCTGCCCATGATTACATACATATACAGGCACCTATCTTCCACTCACCTGGAAAAAGACCCAGGCTTCTACATCATGTACAAAAAGGGTACTGCCCCAGTGCTTCCTGGTAGGCCAAGGTCTTTATGGGAAGTGTAGTCTTGCTGCCCATTAGGCTCTATAGAAGGCATCCCCTCAGAAAACTACACCTCCCACAAGAAACAGGCACAGCACCTGTAAAATTGCCAAGGTGTCCCCTAGTCAATGTGTAACCTGCATAATTGAAATTGCAAACCACCCAGAGAGTGCTTTAGCGCTATGGGGGAGTAGATAAGCAGCACAATTGTGTTTTTTTTCTTAAGTATTTACAGTTTCACAGTAGAATGGCGTGATAGAAATGGGTGTCCTAAGAAAATCCTGTTAGAATTAACATCAGAGCCTAGTCACAGGGCAGTTTGTATTGACCGCAGAATATCTCGTTCCAAACTGCTCAAGGAAACAATTAAAGGTTTTTTTTTTTTTAAAAGGCTGATGTGTGGACAATGGCACATTAACTGGGTAATGGAAAGAATTACCCAGAGGCAATTAATGTCCACGTATTCGAGAAGGCTTTAATTCAAATTATTTCCCACTTTTTCCAAACAAGATTAACTCTGCAGCCCTGAACATACTTGAAAATAAGACCCACTGAAATTAAAGCAGATTACTTGCCAGTAGAGATAGGAAGGGTGAGGCCATTAACAGTGTAACTATTCTTTATTAATTTAGGAAAGTTTTGGTGAAAACTGTAACTCGGAAAGCAGAATCTCTGTAGTAGTATATGATGGTTTCTATTTTCCCTTTTTCTTTGATTTTTTTCTTTCTTTCTTTTTTAATGAGCAACCCTTTGGGATCAAACAAACATTTCTCAACCAACAGTTTATGCAAAGCATCTGGGGACTCTTGAGAGTCTCCTCCTCCACCACCACCCCTTTTTAATCAGCAAAACCTAACCCTTGTGATAAACAATCCTTTTGCATCCCAGACAAATAAATATTGGTGTGCTTTGAGTAATTGGCATGCAGAAGAACCATTTGTGGAGATGATGGAGAATTAGAAGCATATTAAGAGGGGGAACTTATGGCCATTGCAACAAAGTCTTGCAACTTTCCATTCTGTTGGCAATCGGCACCCAGGATGGTGAGGAATGGCTCACCCTGTCTCTCAGGGCCAGGAGGCTTCTTCAACCCACATTAGAGAACAGGCGGAGTCATAAGCATCCTCTTCTCTTTGTGCCCTCCCCATCTAATCTTTATAAGAATGTGTTTTTTTAAAGGCACTTGAGTTTTCTGTTAGCTAAATATGCTGCCAATTGCTCAGATGATAAAGAATTAATCCTTGGTTCCCCCTAAAGGACAGAAACATGTACAACAGCTATGAGATTTTTTGAGAGGCACTTTGATTTTTGAAGTTTTGGAAGATGTAGCTAAGTTAGTCTGTGCAAGCTCATTAGGCCGAATCAAAAGGATTTTGGATTTCACCTGATTTGATTTTTGAGGTAGCTTAAAGGGCACAAACAGGTTGGCTCTACTTTCAGGGGACACAGTGGGGAACTGAACGCCCAACCTCTAATATACTAGTTTTAAAGGTCCGCTAATGTCCTTCGGAGGGCTGAGACTCAATTTTGCTAGATTTTTAGGTCCCTCACCTACCTACAGTTTTTCAAAACATTAGGCCACTTGAGAGCGCAAGGTTTGTTTTTTGGATTTTTTTCTTAATTTTAAAAACACAGCATTTGTTAGAATAGTGGGGGAGTCATAAGAGTAGGCTCACACCCAACCTTTCTTTATCCAGAAAAAAGCTAGAGTTATTCCAGATGTCTGGGATATAACAAGCAGACCAACGAGTCTGATACTGAGAACCTGAGTACATAGGGTAAAATGCTGATTTGCATTTTTCCCATTGATCGCATGATGCAGCAAGAAATGCTAATTAGCCAAGAGTCCCACACCCCCAATCTGTAGTTTTTCCTTCATTCCAGAGACCTTTCTGCTTTTAAAAGTGGTATTCTTTTGCTTTCATTCAAAGCATGTCATCACTTTGAGTTGATATAGAAAGAGCAACCTATCACGCATATACATACACAAAGCAGTTCCTGTACTCACAAAGACCCTTTCTACTTGCTTTAAAAGGGAGAGTGTTCACATGCACACACACAAGCAGTGCTTGTACTCACCCCTCTCTCCCAAGACACTTCTCTTTTTTAACACCTTCTCCTCCAGCAGATTTCCAGTATATTTATTACACTTTAGCAAGATCCACCAGGCAGCAAAATAAGATGAGGAAATGAGTGATGGAGGAAGGAAAGCCTTCTTAAGGCAGTTCTTTTGAACTGCACCACCTACAGGTGCTTCAAATGGAACTGCAAGTAAAAGGCTTTTTTCTTTACCTGTGTGGCCACTTATATGGGAGAAAACTGAGTTAATTCCCATTTCCCTCTCAGTGTAGTTACATCTGTTGTCAAATCTTTGCACCAGACTTCTTTGGTGAACTTCCCAGAATCCTCTGTTTCTTTTGCAGGAACTGCTTCCGTAGCAGTAGCTGGAATTCTTGCTGCCTTAAGGATCACAAAGAACAAGCTTTCTGACCACAAGTTTGTCTTCCAAGGAGCTGGAGAGGTGAGGGAAGGCCAACAAAAATCACAGTGTCCCATTCTTTTACTCCCTCCTGAGATTCGCGCGGCCCCTACGCTGGGTACATTCAAAACTCAACTGAAAACATGGCTGTATGTCAAGGCCTTCCCTCCTGCCAGCACCTAATCTAACTTAATTTATTTTTCTCTCCTTTATCTATTTATTATTTGCAATTATCTATGATTTTTGTCATTTTCTGTTAATTGATTTTTAATTTATTTTATTATAATTGTATATATGTTCTTGTTAGCCGCTCAGAGTGGTATAGATTTACCAGATGAGCGGGATATAAATCAAATAAATAAATAAATAAATTATTCCAGATGTCTGACATACACATAGTCTTAATTCTACTAGCTCGCCTGGGATATAACAAGGAGACCAATGAGTCTGATACTGAGAGCCTGAGTACATAGGGTAAAATGCTTTTTTCCCATTGATCGCATGATGCAGCAAGAAATGCTAATTAGCCAAGAGTCCCACACCCCCAATCTGTAGTTTTTCCTTCATTCCAGAGACCTTTCTGCTTTTAAAAGTGGTATTCTTTTGCTTTCATTCAAAGCATGTCATCACTTTGAGTTGATATAGAAAGACCAACCGATCACGCATATACATACACAAAGCAGTTCCTGTACTCACAAAGACCCTTTCTACTTGCTTTAAAAGGGAGAGTGTTCACATGCACACACACAAGCAGTGCTTGTACTCACCCCTCTCTCCCAAGACACTTCTCTTTTTTAACACCTTCTCCTCCAGCAGATTTCCAGTATATTTATTACACTTTAGCAAGATCCACCAGGCAGCAAAATAAGATGAGGAAATGAGTGATGGAGGAAGGAAAGCCTTCTTAAGGCAGTTCTTTTGAACTGCACCACCTACAGGTGCTTCAAATGGAACTGCAAGTAAAAGGCTTTTTTCTTCCTTTACCTGTGTGGCCACTTATATGGGAGAAAACTGAGTTAATTCCCATTTCCCTCTCAGTGTAGTTACATCTGTTGTCAAATCTTTGCACCAGACTTCTTTGGTGAACTTCCCAGAATCCTCTGTTTCTTTTGCAGGAACTGCTTCCGTAGCAGTAGCTGGAATTCTTGCTGCCTTAAGGATCACAAAGAACAAGCTTTCTGACCACAAGTTTGTCTTCCAAGGAGCTGGAGAGGTGAGGGAAGGCCAACAAAAATCACAGTGTCCCATTCTTTTATTTTCTGTTCTTTTCTTAACAATATATGTTATAATAGGTGAGAAATGGAAAAACAGTGGTGTTACCTGAAGCCTTTGGGCAGAAATAGTTCCACTGCTGTTAACCCTGCAGGTCAGCCTGGAAGAGTTTACAAATAGAGATGGGGATATTCATATACGAATATCCCCGCATAGTGGCATTCCCGCGTAGTGGCATAGATCGGTCCACTCACCGATCTGCCGCAAGCGTGGATGGTGCATTTCTACCAATGGCTCAGCAGTATGCGATCTGCGAGCCACTCTTCGACCTTACAGCGAGGCTTGTCCTCCTGCCAAGAGCTGTATACGAATATCACCTGTGCAAGGATATTCGTATACGAATACCCCCATCTCTAATTACAAACTGTGAGGGAAACTGCCCAGAACGACCCTTGTATTTATTTCTTGGGAAATGAACCTGTACTTGTGCCAAATCTCCAAAGAAGTGAAGCCCCTGCAGAGTTTTGTAGAGAATGACAACAGACCCATCAGCCATGACCCATTCCAGCTGTTGACCCTTTCACCTGCTTCTGTTTTGTATAGGTGCTGAAATAAATGATGCCTCAGTTCTTTGAGGAATTTATTTTAATGGGCACTGAATCCAGACTCCTATCTCATCTGTTGTTGATTTTAATGAAACCCTGGATTGGAGGCAGAAATCTGGGTAGAGGTAGCCTGAGGTGTCCAGGGATCTACTGGAGTTGCCTGGTATTTAGAGATCGTTGGGCCCAGATATCCTTGCTGCTCGTTAAAATAACCTTCCGGATAGTTTAGTGATTTGGTTACCTGGCAGCAGAACCAGAGGTTGATAGTTTGATTCCCCCTTGTGCCTTGTGGGACAAAAGCCAGCCTGTGTAGCATTGGATGAACTGTACAGTTCCAGAGGGCCTCTAGCTTAGATTGTGCATTCTCCAGGTGTGCTTTTAGGACTTCAACTTGGAGAATTCTTCCAGAATTCGTTAGGCAGAATTCTGGGCCTTCCAGCCCATTGGCCCACATCTTTAGACACTTACATTTTGCTCACCTGGAGCAATTGTGCCCATGTGCAAATCTACACAGCTGTCTTGGGCCTTGTTTCCAGTATTTAATGTACTCGAAACAAAAAAAAGAATGCTACTGCGTTTTTCTTCCTGGGAGTTGTGATCTCATTGCACCTTAGACTCTACAGTGGGGATCTCCTGAAGAACTACAACTTCCAGGAAGCACCCACGGTAGCTTCCTCTTTTGTAAATTAACAACAGGAAGCAAGGCCTAAAAAGCCTTGGAGGAAGGCCGTTCTCCAGGTGAGTGAAATGTAGGTGTGGGTCTTTGGGCTGGAACTCTTGGACAATTCTGGGGGAGGGAGTCCGAAAAACATTTTTCTGGAGTTTTTCATTACCTCTTGCTTCACAGTCTTCTTCTTCAGTCTTCCTTCCATCATCAATTTTGGGAAAGGATAAGGGATTTTTTTTTCTCCTTTCATGAATCATGGAGCCATAGGGAAGGATATGTTTTCCTTGTATAAATCCTAGGTCAGTTCTCAAAAAAAATCCCCAGTAATAAATTTCCTATAGCAAGACACAGACAGTGCAGAACTGTTGTTATTCAGAATATGGGGTTCTGCCACCGGTGTGTCATACCGGAGGGGCCAGAGGTGCACAACAGGCACGCCAGAAAAGAAGGCCTGCCAGGAATGTGGAGACCCTCACCCTCCGTTGGGGACCTGAGCCCAGGCATCATCCTCAGAGGGCCTCTACAGATGCTTAACAAAAACACTCCCTACGTCCCTTCTCGTAGAAGGCCTACCATGCCCCCCCCCGAGTCGCAGAAGGTGTTCTGATTTCATCTGTGCCTGATGTGAACCTTTTTGGGCTTGTGTGCCCAAACTGAAAAAAAGAAAGAAAGGAAAAAACCCAGCGGGTGGCATGCCGTGGTGGTGCAGCAGCAGAACCGGAAGTGGCAGCAAAAGGGGGAATCCCGGGCACGGAGGCACCTCAAGACCCCACGCCGGATCCGCCGCCAGCGCCAGCAGCTCCGGATCCGCCTGTCGAAGTGCCAGCGCCGCGGCCACTCCTTCTTTAAAACTTTGCTTGGGGTTCTGACCATTCTCCTGACAGGCTCCAGCAACTGAAGTGAACGGGTGCAAATTTATTTATTGATTGATTCAATTTATATCCTGCCTATCTGGTCTTACGACCACTCTAGGCGGCTTCCAAACACATAAAACAACATATAAATATAGCAAAAAAGAAAAAGAGATAGAAATTATTACATAAAATAAGCAAGTTCTTCAAAAGAAAGAAAGAAAGAAAGAAAGGAAGGAAGGAAGGAAGGAAGGAAGGAAGGAAGGAAGGAAGGAAGGAAGTAAGTAATTAAGTAAGTATCTTCCTTTCTTCTTTCCTTCCTTCCTTCCTTCCTTCCTTCCTTCTTACCATAAGACGTAAGAAGAGAAAATGCTTTTAATTCTATTGAAAATGAATGTTGATCATGGCTGACTGCCACGGCAAGAGTAAGTGGAACCAAATTAACATGGAAAAACACACCTTTCTACAAACTATAGAAAAGATGAAGCTGTTTTGCAAATGTTTAAAATGGTTCAGTGTGAATAAGAAAAGGCACCTGTTGGATAGCATCTGTGCCATCATTAACATGGACATGCATCCACAGGCACAAATATACATGCATATCAATTTAAATTGACAGCGCAGAAGTTGACTCCCTGGTACTGTATATGTGTTTTTAAGGCGAGTTGCGAAATTGAGCTCATAATGTAGATGAGGAACTCATGAGTTTCTTGCCTGTCTTCTTCCCTTCACGCTTTAGAAAGCTAGACTGTAATTCCCAAACGCCTCTGTGCATAAGTTGTTTTATTATATTAGCATTAATATTGCTTGATTTAGATATATTACTCCATGTCCTGAACGCTAAAGATTTGGGATGTATTTTTAAAAAACAGAATGAAACTGAGAGAACGGTATATCCAATAAGTATAAAAACAGTGTTTCAGTTATGAATACCTTTTCCCTTATTTTTTTTACTTTGACCAAATTCTTCAGACATCAGTACACTGATTATCTTGTACATCTTTCATTTAATAGTCTTGGGCCTTGTTGAACTTCCAGGAGAGACGATGTAATTTTTTTCACATTTGGAGAGGCAGGTCACGAACACTTCTAAGCACAGCTGGAGGTCTCAAGCACATATGTAGGAAAACAGGTTTTATTTTCAGTCTTATTTTTACCCACTATGGCGTTTGTTCATCTCATAGGGCAGGAGCCACCTGAATCATGAAAAGGACATGTTCGCTCATGATCATCCCAGTGTGAAAACCCTGGAGGACGTGGTGCGGACTGTAAAACCAACAGCCATCATTGGTAACTGTCCGTCTTGTTTTCCTTTAGATGCTGACGTCTCATGTCCCTTCATTTCCCCTCTGCTCCTTCTTCTTTGTTTTAATCCTCACCTTCTGGAAGTGTTGGCATGGTGTGAACTTCCAGTTCACTGTAATGGCAGGTTTCTTATTCTGCCAAGAAGAAAGGCAGTGTCCCATGTGTGTGACTACCACCAAGAGACAACAGGGCAAAAGGAAGGAGTTTGAATAAGTACCTGCGGGCGTTGCTGCCTGAAAGTACTTATTAAACTCCGGGAGGCAGTGGAAAACAGGAAGGCCTGGCGTGCTCTGGTCCATGGGGTCACGAAGAGTCAGACATGACTAAATGACTAAACAACAACAAATCCATTCCTTATTGCAAGAAGCTAGAATAGTTTTTTAGTGATGCAGCAGCCCAGTGAGTAGCCTAAGGGGAGAGACGGTGATGTCATTTTCCAAACCCGTTTACGAATTCTTCTTTCTCTCGCTGGTTGTTCACCTCACGGCTGTAGGTGTGGCTGCTGTGGCTGGAGCCTTCAGCGATCAGATTTTGAAGGACATGGGGACCTTCAACGAGAGGCCCATCGTGTTTGCCCTCAGTAACCCCACAAGCAAAGCAGAGTGCACAGCTGAGCAGTGCTACCGCTTGACAGAGGTAAGGCACCTCTTCTGGTAGCTTCCCTGCCATTTTGCTCCCACAAAGGAGGCCTGCTTTGGGGTAAGCCTTCTTTTTCCTGTGGCAGAAGAGGACATCCTAAGAGAGGTACCCTACCCAATGTTCCTTCCTTTTTCACGTTCCATGCAATCTGACGGAAGTTCCTGGACGGCCATGAACCTTCTCTTCTGCTCCTTCCGCCCCCTTCTTTTTCTGCTCACAGGGGCGAGGGATCTTTGCCAGCGGCAGCCCGTTTCCCAAGGTGACCCTGCCCAACGGACAGACCTTCTTCCCCGGCCAAGGGAACAACGCTTACATTTTCCCAGGAGTGGCTCTGGGAGTTATCGCCTGCGGAGTTCGCCACATTTCTGAGGACATCTTTCTTACCACAGCAGAGGTCTGGCATCTCCTTGCATCCCTGACCCAATGAAGGTGGAATGAATATTTTAGAGATATTTTAGGCTTCCACTTGGAGTGCCTTCCGAAAGCTGCCTTCCTTCTAACTTTGGGCTCAAAGGCTACCTTGGTGGCTTAACCTCTAATAGCCTTTCCATACATTAGTGATCATAAATATAATCATGTGCCACTGAGCCAATTCTGGCTTGCGGCTACCCTTTTCAAGTTTTTCCAGGTATTTATTTAAAATATTTCTGTGCTGCCTTTCTCCCCAAAAGGACCCAAGGTGGCTTACATTACTAAAACAGTATTTAAAAGCTAAAACAGGAAGTATGTAAATATTTAAAAAGAATTTAAAAAGTACTATCTTAAAGTGGTAACTAAGATCAATATTAAAACACATTTCAAACAATGGAGTACAACAGTTCTTTTAAAACCCTTCTCGGACCACCAGTCATTAAGGAAAAGCCTGCCCGCAGAGAAAGGTCTTTGCCTGCCTGTGGAGGGCCACAAAGATGGGGCCAGCCTGGCTTCCAGTGGGAGGGAGTTCCAGAGTCTGGGAGCAGAGGCAGAGAATACTCTGAAGTAGTTTCCTGTTCCCTTTTTCTGCGGGCGCCCTGGGGCTGTGCAGCTTGCCCATGGCCACACAGGCTGACTCTTCTCCTTGGCACAGTGGGGAAGCAAACTCTGGCTCTGGTTTATAATAAGCAAATGGTATTTACATGTTAAGGGTGCAATGCTTCTAGATAAGGACTCAGCAAAGCCCCGGACCCCCTTCAGATGGCTGCCACCAGCAATATTGTTGCCAGTTAAAATAAGAGCCTTCCCTGAATTATGTCAAATTTCTAGGAAAACCTTGCCTTTAGAAAGAGTGTGCATTTATTGTACAGTGGTGCCTCGCTGAACAAGCGCACCGTTTAACGACGAATCCGCATAGCGATGCAGATTTTGTGATCGTTTTTGCGATTGCATTGCGATGTTTTAATAGGTAAAACATCGCATTGCAATGATCGGTAAGCGTTTCGCTTACCGATCTTCGCATTGCGATGTTTTCAGAACAGCTGATCGGCGGTTCCAAAATGGCCGCCGGATGAAGAAAGCGGCCGCCCGCAGCGTTTTTGCGCTGATTCCTCGCTTACCGAGGTGGCGAAAATGGCGGCCGGATTGAGGATTTCCGCTTAGCAGTGAGTTTTGTCCCCATAGGAACGCATTAAACAGAGTTTAATGCGTTCCTATGGGGTTTTTTGCCTCGTATAGCGATGTTTCCAGATAGCGACGATTTATCCAGAATGGATTATCGTTGCTATGCAGGGCAGCACTGTACTGACAAGGTAATGGTGTTGCTGTGGACACAGTGAAAACGAAAACAAATCTAGAAATTGTTGTTAGAAACCATTTCTTAACCTGAAGCGCTGTTCTCCTTCCCCAACATAGTCAATTGCAGCCGAAGTGACAGATAAGAACCTTGCGGAAGGAAGGCTGTATCCCCCTCTGAGCTCCATTCGAGATGTCTCCTTTAAAATTGCTGTCAAAGTAAGTGGCCTCATGTGTTGATTCTGGTGAGAAGGGCGAAATAATTTTCTTGAAAACAAAGTTCTGTGTTCTCCTGCCTTCTGAAACTAAAGATGTGAGTTACCGGGTGAACCTCAAGGGCACAATCGCACACTACCAGGTATGTTCACACCTGCAGATGGAAATCAGTGCAGTGCTTGGTAAAATCCTTAGAGGAGCCTTGTGGTGCGGTGGTTAAAGTGCAGTACTGCAGCTCAGACTCTACTCATGAGTTGAGTTTGATCCATCAGGTAGCCGGCTCGAAGTTGACTCAGCCTTCCAAGGTCAGGAAATTGATAACCCAGCTCACTGGGGTGTGGGGGAGGCCATGTGCCACCTGCCTAATTAAATGGTAAACCGCCCAGAGAGTACTTTAAGCGCTATGGGCGAGGTATCTAAGCAGCAGGCTTTCTGCCATTTCCTCCAAGTTGGGTCCTCAGATTTTGTTGGCTTCAGCCGCCAGCCTGGATAATGGTCAGGGATCCTGAAAGTTCAGTCTGATCACTGCTCAACATCCCAAATTGGGGAACCACCACTCCATACCCCGTGTCCTACATTCTTAGTGGAATAAATATAAAAAGTGAACTGACTCCAGATTTGGAGTAGAATGGACGGGAACTTCAACCAGCCATGACTGACTCCTATATCACACCTTTTTGTAGGTCTTCTTCAAGTTTGACTAAACCAACCTGTTCAGATGAATAGAATAGGCATGTAGGGGCCTCCTGTACTAAGTAATTCACATCACACCACAATACACCCACAAGGAATCACCAAGAAGAGAAAGGCAGAGGGCTCTGTTGGAACTCATGGCCAACCCCTTTTCCTCTTGCACATAGCTGTGTTGCAAAGGAAATGGATATCATTTTTAACACTTCCAGGAAGTTTTGGATTACAACCACCCTAACCTCTAACCCTCTACCATGAGGACTAGAACCTTTGATAACTAAAATCTAAAACATCTGTCATGGTGAATGCTCCTGTGCCCCAACCCTATTGTCCATCGTTTTGTGCCTTTGTTTGCTAATGGTCTTGAC